CAATAGACGGCTAACGTTACTTATCCCTCAAAGTCTGCTGTCGATAGGCAGCTTGCACCCGTTTTGATGTGCAGCCTTGTTTCCACTGATGTCACTCTCCAACAGCGGCCAGTCTCGCTGTTTCTAGGCTGTCAACTCCCGGTTGCATTCGCCGATATGGCTAAGATTTTCAGCCCCGTTGCCTGAGCTCAACTCTGCGGGGCTCTGACCAACTAAATATGGTGAAGTTACTACTCTGACACCGACAGGAAGAGGTGGGTTCTATCTCAAATAGGAAACGCCAAACGTCAGAATGAAGCACTTCGCCAAAAGACAGTACAGTATGAAGATAGGCAGAAACTGGTTCTCCAATAGAAATCCCCGATCACGTTGGCTAGCTAAGCTCATGCGCAGAAATACGTAATCGGGTCTAACGGTCGCCTGGCGCCTAATTGCTCATGTGCATGCCGTCTAATCAAAGGCACCCACCTTCGATATAAAGTTGTTTTTGACGAAAATGAAAACGAGTCAGTTTGTCACTTTCACGAGGTCTGAGTAATAACATGTTCAATTACTTAAGACATTGTTTCGAATCTAGGTTGTGCCTTTAGATTTCGAAAAATTAACAACTAAGGAATACTTTTTCACTTCTATCATTGACTTCTAGAACCCCAAACCCCGGTCTGGTCTGCTTGGTCGGTTTCGCAAGCGTTCCTGCAAGTCTCGCGATATAGCGCCTCTGCGTTTAGAAACTCTGTGCTTCGATTTTAGCCAATGGGAATAAATTATATCACAGTAATTAACAGAGAACATCTGTTCTTATGTCAAAATGTTTCCCCTTTCCTCTCTACAGACTGACATACGTTTATTTTAAATGGAATAAGGTTTCAGACAGTGGAGGCTCCTCAGGAGGAAGGGGAGGACCATCCTCCTCAGTGAATTTAATAAAAATAAAAATGTTAAAACATAAAAAAGTTATCATTTTTAGATAAAACTATACTAAATATATTCACGTCACCAAATAATTGATTAAAACACACTGTTTTACAATGAAGGTCTACAGTAGTCTCAACAGCACTCTGTAGGGTAGCGCCATGGCGTAGCCGGAGGACAGCTAGCTTCCATCCTCCTCTTGGTACATTGACTTCAATACCAAACCTAGGAGGCTCTTGGTTCTCACCCCCTTCCATAGACTTACACAGTAATTATGACAACTTCCGGAGGACGTCCTCCAACCTATCAGAGCTCTTGCAGCATGAACTGACATGTTGTCCACCCAATCAAAGGATCAGAGAATGAATCTAGTACTGAAAGCATAAGCTACAGCTAGCTAGCGCTGCAGTGCATAAATGTGGTGAGTAGTTGACTCAAAGAGAGAGAAAGACAATAGTTGAACAGTTTTCAAGAAAAACATTTCTTCAAAAATGAAGGAGAAGCAAGAGAGAGAGAGTGTCATTTTTTTTCAGTTTCACTTACTTAGCTAGCAAATGCAGCTGGCTAGTTTAGCCTACTCAAACACCAGGCTCAAACAGAGTGATGCTATGTTAGCTAGCTGGCTATGACTATCCAACAGAACACTGGAACTCTTCCAAGTCAAAGTAAGCTTTTGGTTTTACACATTTATTGCCACCGGGGCCCGCCGGTGTAACTGCTAAACTGCTTACTGACTAGACACTGTAAAGTTACTGCATGATTGTAGCGGGTTTACTAACGCATTAGTTCTATAAGCTATGTTGACTAGGACGTTACTTTAGCTAATATGGGGACAACGATGTAGGCGGTGTGTAGTGATTATGACATTTTTTGGCTTGGAAAGGTTTTTTCACCTGGTCACATACAGCTGATGTGTTGTGCATTGAAGTCCACAAATGAAGGGAAAAGGTGAGAGGAGGAGAGCGCATAGAGGCGAGAAGGAATACAACGTGGCTGCTATGAAAGTGAACTGGGTTTACGCATGATCAGGGGTGTATTCATTCCGCCGATTCTGTTGAAAAACATTTCTTAAATGGAAGCAAACGAAACGGGGATAAAAAAATACCTGAATTTGTCCAATATAAACTCTCGTTTGCAACTGTTGGACTAATGATTACACCCTAGATAAGCTAGATGCAGGCAAGAGTGTGCAAGGCGGTATTGAATGTGTCACTGTCTGTCCATGTGTCACCTCAAATTTCTCTCGACCTGTGTGCACCTACGTTGTAAACTTTAATTAATAGGCTAGGTTGTAGCAACCTCATGATGGGTATAGGGAAAATTAGAGTATCATGGAGTAGCCTAAAGCTATCGATGTTACATTGAACTGGGTGAATGGAATATGAATGACAGTCATCCAATATGCTGTAATAGAAATAAGGCCATGCTCATAAAAAAAGAAAATCTTCCTCCATCATAAACGGCACTGATCGCCACTGGTTTCGGAGATAGTGGTTGGAGCTTTATGATGTGATCTAGGCTAGGCTACAGATATGTCAGTATCTGTCATAATAAAAAATAACAACCTGCATACACATGGGTCTTCCAGGACTGACCATAAATGCATTACGTTTGTCTGTACACAACAAAAATCAACAAGAGTAATAAAAAACAAATTTATTTTCTTTAAAAAATAGCCCTCCCCAACAGAGTCCCCATACTATTACATCATACAGAGCCAAAATAAGTTGCTTCCATGTCCTTTCATTCAACCTATTGGGAAGTGCTATGACAAGGACTGTTCTTGATCAGTGGCTTTCATATTGCTTAGTCAGTGAGGCTGGGTGGAGCAGATTCGCTTGTGTCCTCATCATGATGCTTTTCTCAGGGTAATTCCATGTTGTCCTCCCCCGTTGCAAGGTGCTTTGTGTCTTCAGTGAGTGAAGATAAGAACTGCATCTGGATCAGTGGTGCTGGGCTTACCCAAGCTGAATTTGAACACAGAGGGGGGCGGGCGGGCGGGGCGGGGGGGGAACTAACCCCAACTGCAAAGTCCCCGCTACATTGGTGAGCCCAAATTCATTACAGGTTATATACAAATCACCTTGGACACGTGGGGTCAGTAAAATGGTGTACAAAAGCATTTTGATTGCAGAAGTTCATAAACATGAGTCCCCCCAAAAATTGGCATATCATTAAATCTCTATCGTTGTTCCCTTCCAACATCCCCCTTGAGGATACACTCTGACACTACCCATCAGACATGATTGGAGGCGCTTGAAGGCCAAGAAGTGAAAGTCAGACTACTTTTCACATAGTACCCCCTTGAGGATATACTCTGACACTACTCATCACAACAATACAGAAAACAAAAAGCAGCCTTTCAGTTCACCATTTACACAACTGAGGCTATGACTGACAGGCAGAAGGGAGCACAATAAGCTCCTATCTCTAGGAAAACTAAAATAAGGTGGCTCAGAATATCCAGTCATAATAAAAATGTGTTACATGCGTCAGAAAGTGATCAGAAGTGAAGGCAGGGCATACTGAGTAAGTACCCCCCAATAACCTGTGTAGCAAAACCCCTATCTGTGTTGTCCATGCACACAGCGCACCAATGGGGATCATACACTAGGCTGGGAGGGGGATGAGGCAGAGGATTGAGGGGGTATGGATAGGGGTAAAGGGTGGTGGTGTTGGAAGGAGGGGGCAAGTATTCATGTAGGGGTTTTAAGGGGGCAAGTGCATGTGTGGAGGCGGCTCGATACACACTCAGTAGGAGAATGTGAGGGGGTGCGGAGGCATGAGTGTGCTTGTGTTGACGATGCTGTGGTCGATGTCTGTGGGTAGGAGGACAAGCTATGTACAAAATTAAAAATGAGGCGCTAAGTGTGCGTACAGTATGGGTGTGTGTGTGTGTAGGTGTATGTCAACGTAGTGTATTGGTGTGTACATCATCTCCATTGACATAGGTTGGAATATGTAGCTAGAATGGTGTAGAATGATCATATAGCCAAGGTCAAGTGCTAAAAGTGAGGGAGAAACACTTTTCATTCAGTGTTCTCTGGCACACGTCTGTTTGCTGCTTTCATACCTACAAAGAAAAGATGAAGACGTTGTATTGCTACTGTTACTCTATCGGTTCAGCAAGCTTAGAGAGGTTGTAGGTGTGAGAATATGTATTATGTAGGTAGGTAGGGGTGTGTGGGTGTGTGTGTGTGTGTGGCCTATGTGTGTAAAGCCTGAGGGAAGACACATCTCCCCATTCTGAAATAACATAAACCAATCAGGTAAAGAAAGTGCCTCGTAATTCCTTCGCAGAATAAATGCATACTGACAAAGATTATCTTCTTCCTGTTTACATAAGTGCCCCTTTTCCATTGGTAGGCATCACATTTGGCTGGTTAATAATAATAATGCTGGTTTAGGTGCATGGGGTGTGAGTATATTCAAGTATATTCAATACACTCAATGCAATGGTCGCTCTAACTTCTACATTGGCCTCTCTCTCTACTGGCTAATTCTCTAGGCAAGAGGAGACTCCCCAACCTGCACAGATACAGTTAAGAAGGACTTAGTCTCATGTATCTACAATATGTTACATCTGCTCTTTCTATCTCTGCTCTATTTCCACTATTAAGAGCAGAGGTCTAGCCTCACCCAGACATAGACACTTCATATAGGTGCAGGGTGGGCGGCGTTGTCTACATGCTAATCGCTAAGTGCTAATGTCCCATACCACCCGTTGCGCGCCTCAAGGCCATTAAAATAACAGCAACAATAAGAATGGAGTTCATGATAAAAAGTTACAACGATAATAAGTGTCCTTTTTGTCGCTCCTCCCCCCGCCCCATGACTCCTGTTGTACCAGGGGCTTGGAACAGAACACTGGCATCCGCTGCGCGGATAGGTAAGAGGCAGCATTGTGGTGGCAGTCAAAAGTCTCGGGGCAGCTCAGCGCCCGTTTTCCTCCCCTCCGTATTGCATACTTACATACAAAGGAGTGTGGAAGGTCGCATACAATACAATACCCATTTGTGTTTCTTTAAGTCTAGATAAAAACACATAGTCCTGGTAAAGTAAATACAAATAAACACTTAATAATAATATCAATAATGATAATAATAACTGTTGTGCAGGACGCTGCAGAGTCTGCCTGGGTTGATCAGGTGAGGGGTGTTTAGTTCTGGTACTGGGGTTGGTTTGGCTGTGGTTGGGTCAGTCATGAGAGGCATGTGGAGTGTGTGGGTGATCACAGCCATGGAGGGAGGAGGGGAGGTGGAAGGCTTCCAGTGGGCTCCCAGGCCCCTCACCGGGGGATGGTGAGTCTTAAGGGCAGTGGTGGTGGCGGTGATGGTAGTGTGGGGTGGTGCTCAGGCAAAGTACATGGTTCTCAGGGTGTCGTGGTGAATCTGCACCGCCTTGGCCAGTGCCTGGGGATCCCGACCGTTACTCTGACCAGAGACATGGCTGCCCTCCCCACTACAGTAAGGACAGAAAGACACAGGACGCAATAAGTACCGAATAAGATCTGGAAATTATATAGTGCTCATCTTTTTCATTAATTTTGGGTTGAGGCATACAGCTGGATCTACACAACCGATGCCATGGAACTTGAATTCATCTTAACATTAGACTACATTTGAGGTCATAAACATCTGACAACAGATTTAGGTGTAATGTACCCTTTAAAACGTTAACTAGACCACCATGCTCACCTGTCGTGCTCCTTGTCCACCAGATGGTAGCGGGCACGGAAGGCCACAAGGCGGGCATAGTAGGCTGGCGCAGGGATGGAGACGGAGCGGGTACAGCGCACGTAGGTGTGGCACAGCTGGTAGGTGAGGATTTGCAGCTCGTCGGCGGTGAAACGATTGTCGTCCCACAGGACGTAGTAATGTGAGGGCCGACTAGTCCCCTACAGAGCAGAGTGTAGTGTGGAAAGACCATTTCAACACTCAAGAGGGAGGATTATTTGAAAACATGAATAACTAGTATTAGGGCCCTGTGTTTTGCCTGGATATTAACTTCAAACTGTCCCCTTTTCTTTTCATGTCAGATGGTCCAGCACCATCCTCAGACAATTGCTTTAATCTTTGGTGTAATTCTAATTTCTGAATAAGGCTTAAAATACAGAATAAAATCTTCCTATGTTACATTATTGTGCAAAACACAGGGCCCTAACTATATGTTTTTAAACCTGCTCTTTTAAGTTTTCTTATACACTTTGCACTGTTTTAACTTACATTCATTGTTATGTTTTATGTTGTGTATCGTGTAAATATATGCATGCTGCTTTGTTGGAGATGTAAATCTCCATGTGATTTCTATGGTTAAATAAAGGATTAACTAAAAGTATACAAATTAAAATCGCCATGGAGCCACAAAGTGGCGTTAAAGAGCCGCATGTGGTTCCCGAGCCAGGAGGTTTAGAATGGCTCAGGTTAGACAAACACAGCTGGACAGCAGCAGGAAGCTCTTCCCCACTCACCTGTATACCCGCGTGACTGCAAAGGTAGAAGTCAAACTCAAACGGGTGAGTGATGCTGGTGTCCACTGTGGTCCCTGCAGGAATGTTACCACTCTTCCCGATCTACAGAAAAAGGAAAGACCATACAGGACCACGATATTTAATTCCAAACGCTTATCCTATATTACAACTGGCCATCAAATCAAATAAGCTCACATGACCGCATTTGGCCCGCGTGCCGAAAGTTTGAGACCCCTGTTCTACAGTGAAACCTATAAAGCATGATATAGGTTATGGTTAGAATAGCTCTGACTGTTGACTCACTCTCTCAGACTTGTCGGCACAGAAGAGGCGTGTGTGGTGGCGCTTCTGGACCACGATGTAGGTGATACCAGGCTGGTAGTCCTTCTCCAGCTTGATGCACGCATCCCTGATGGCCAGAAGCTCGTAGTGGAGTATCTATGCAGAAAAATTAAATATTTACTCGTTATCTGGCCAACTGATATCTTTAGAGATAGGTGCGTTGCTCACCTCATTCTGTAACTCTTCCCAGTATTGTGCATTATTGTCACATGCTATAGTATATCGATCATACTTATTCAGAGATTAACTATGTACCATTATTTAACTGCTATAAACTACTAGGCCTATTGGTCAAAGTGAGTAAAAATATATTGATCTGGCCAATCCAACTCTGTCACTTATGAATAACACAAAATGGATCCCCATCTCTATTGATCACTATTTATAACCCCCAACGACAGAGACCAGTAAGTACCTGTGGCAGCTGCCCCTCAGGGACTCCATCCCTGTAGAAGATGATCCTGGTGGGCTTGAAGCGGGTCGACTTGTAGAACTGGATCAGCAGTTCTCGCACCATGTAAGAAAGGTCTTCGATAATCTCCTGCCTGGGCCTCTGGACCCTGACTGTGGCACAGTACCTGCTGGGGTGGGCGTCCATACTGCCTACCACCTGGAGAGAGAGAGGGAGGGGAAAAAAAACAGAGAGAGGGGTGAGAATGAGAGAGAGAAATGAGGGGACTAGCCATACAGACACAGACCAGGGCCTGTATTCAGAAAGCGTCTCAGAGTAGCAGTGATGATCTATGATCTGGTCCCCCTGTCCATGTAATCTTATTCACTATTATCCAAAAAGCAACTGATCCTATATCAGCACTACTACTCTTAAGACTCTTTGTGAATCCGGGCCCAAAATTCAGAAACCACTCCTAAAAAGCAAAAGCTTTGCAAATACAGAGATGAGCTGAAACATAAAGACTAGATAGACAACCCAAAACATCAATATTTAATTCAGTGTTCTATGATTCACCTCTAGCCAATGATACAATGTGAGCACTAGCATCCTCTATAGGCACAGGATAGGCGGTGTCAGAAGCTCTGTGTCGTCAGCATCTATAACCTTGTAGCCTTATGTCTTGTTACTGTGAGAAAAATAGTCATCCTTCCTGACCCACCTCTACATGCGCTGACACACACGCACACACACAGAAGGACATACAGACGCACACAGAGGGCTGAGTGACTCAACAGCCTGTCATGATCGCTAGGCAACCACACAGCCAACCACAGGGTTGTGGGATAGCGAGGATCGGGGTGACATCATTTCCTCCCTGTCTGTGAGTCAGCGGTGTGGCATTGTCTTCCCCTTCTACACCTCTTATGCTTTTCCTCATCCCTCCCTCTTAAAATACGATGTCCTCTTAATACATCATCATTTGTGTTAAAACATGGTGTAGTATTGTAGAGGCAGCCTTACAGCGGTAATGGAGGGCTTCTTCCCATCTCCAGCAGGGGGGTGTGTTACATCGGCCCCCAGGAAGATGACAGGCTCCTGGAACACTGCTGACCTGTGAGACGGGAAGGGAGAAGGGACAAATTCAGTCAAACTCATAGGAGTTTTCATCTGATTTTAAAGAGTGCTCATATACATAAAAGGGTTTCCGTCCAGAGCACATTCAGACCAAGGTCGTATCCATTAGGTACCAAACGGAACAAAACGGACTGAAAAAGGAAGGGACTTTGCGTGCCATAATGAACCCAACCCAATGGAGAGAGTTGGTGAAAGTTTACCGTTGGTGGGGCACCAGAATATTGTTGATTCCCCCCAGCTTGACATTGATCTTGAGGCAAAGGTTGGAGAGGGTCTGGGGGGATGTCTTCACCACGTTCTTCACCTGGACACACTGAGTGGCCATTCCTAGGAGAGTATCTCCCACCCTCTTCACCTCCGCTACACGGGACCAATAACAGGCAGAAATTAAGTACAGGTCCATAAATGCTAAACTGAAGCTATTATCCACCGATGTACAAAACATTAAGAACACCTAATATCGAGTTGGCTGGATGTCTTTTGGGTGGTGGACCATTCTTGAAACACACGGGAAAGTGTTGAGCGTGGAAAACCTAGCAGCGTTGCAGTTCTTGACACAAACCGTTGCAGTTCTTGTCTCCTCTCCTTCAGCTACAGTGAGGAAGAAAAGTATTTGATCCCCTGCTAATTTTGTAAGTTTTCCCAATTACAAAGAAATGATCAGTCTATAATTTTAATGGTAGGTTTATTTGAACAGTGAGAGACAGAATAACAACAACAAAATCCAGAAGAACGCATGTCAAAAATGTTATAAATTGATTTGCATTTTAATGAGGGAAATAAGTATTTGACCCCCTCTCAATCAGATGGATTTCTGGCTCCCAGGTGTCTTTCATACAGGTAACTAGCTGAGATTAGGAGCACACTCTTAAAGGGAGTGCTCCTAATCTCATCTTGTTACCTGTATAAAAGACACCCGTCCACAGAAGCAATCAATCAATCAGATTTCAAACTCTCCACCATGGCCAAGACCATAGAGCTCTCCAAGGATGTCAGGAACAAGATTGTAGACCTACACAAGGCTGGAATGGGCTACAAGACCATCACCAAGCAGCTTGTTGAGAAGGTGACAACAGTTGGTGTGATTATTCGCAAATGGAAGAAACACAAAAGAACTGTCAATCTCCCTCGGCCTGGGACTCCATGCAAGATCTCACCTCGTGGAGTTGCAATGATCATGAGAACGGTGAGGAATCAGCCCAGAACTACACAGGAGGATCTTGTCAATGATCTCAAGGCAGCTGGAACCATAGTCACCAAAGAAACAATTGGTAACACACTACGCCGTGAAGGACTGAAATCCTGCAGCGCCCGCAAGGTCCCCCTGCTCAAGAAAGCACATATACAGGGCCGTCTGAAGTTTGCCAATGAACATCTGAATGATTCAGAGGAGAACTGGGTGAAAGTGTTGTGGTCAGATGAGACCAAAATCGAGCTCTTTGGCATCAACTCAACTCGCCGTGTTTGGAGGAGGAGGAATGCTGCCTATGACCCCAAGAACACCATCCCCACCGTCAAACATGGAGGTGGAAACATTATGCTTTGGGGGTGTTTTTCTGCTAAGGGGACAGGACAACTTCACCGCATCAAAGGGACGATGGACGGGGCCATGAACCGTCAAATCTTGGGTGAGAACCTCCTTCCCTCAGCCAGGGCATTGAAAATGGGTCGTGGATTGGTATCCCAGCATGACAATGACCCAAAACACACGGCCAAGGTAACAAAGGAGTGGCTCAAGAAGAAGCACATTAAGGTCCTGGAGTGGCCTAGCCAGTCTCCAGACCTTAATCCCATAGAAAATCTGTGGAGGGAGCTGAAGGTTCGAGTTGCCAAACGTCAGCCTCGAAACCTTAATGACTTGGAGAAGATCTGTAAAGAGGAGTGGAACAAAATCCCTCCTGAGATGTGTGCAAACCTGGTGGCCAACTACAAGAAACGTCTGACCTCTGTGATTGCCAACAAGGGTTTTGCCACCAAGTACTAAGTCATGTTTTGCAGCGGGGTCAAATACTTATTTCCCTCATTAAAATGCAAATAAATTCATAACATTTTTGACATGCGTTTTTCAGGATTTTGTTGTTGTTATTCTGTCTCTCACTGTTCAAATAAACCTACCATTAAAATTATAGACTGATCATGTCTTTGTCAGTGGGCAAACGTACAAAATCAGCAGGTGATCAAATATTTTTTTCCCTCACTGTACACTGATTTAAGTGAACTTAAGTGTCATCAATAAAGGATCATAGCTTTAACCTGGATTGACCTGGTCAGTCTATGTCATGGAAAGAGCAGGTGTTCATAATGTTTTGTACATTCAATGTATCATATATGTCTGTTTCTGCACTTTGCCAAAGTAAAAGGTAATACATTATATAAAATATATTAGTGTAAGGGTGGTGGTCAAGCAAGGTGAGTAAACTGACATTTTGGTTAATGAATTCTAACATAGAGAATTAAGTAAGTGAATCATTCAGCATGAATAAGGCCAATCTTACCATAGACGGGGGTCTTTCCGGGTAGGATGACGATGATTAGCTGCAGTCCTGAGTAGGTGTTCTTCAGGTGCCTGAACATGGGCTCCACACTGTCAGCTCCCTGGGCGTATTTACAGAAACACGGCTGGCCCTGGATGGGCATCCCAGCATCCTTGGAGATTTTACGCAGCTGGTCTGTGAAGTTCCTGAGGAAAGTGGAGACATTAATTTGTTAGGAAAGGAACCGGTTTCACATGGTGGTGCTGTCTGCTGAGCCCAGGACTGTGTTTATTAGGCACCAAACAGAAGACAACAGACTGAAACAGGGAGGTACCATCTGGACTTCTCCAACGGAATGCTCATTTTCAATTGCAAAATGTTTTAGAACGTTTCCTGTAGTGTGCACTAATGAACATGACCCATGCCACAGCAAGTAAAGCTCCAAATAAGACTACGCTAACACACAAAACTACCTAGCAAAGCCAAGAACAGTACATATTTTCTCTTTAGATAAATACTGTTGCACTCTGACAGGAATCTCTAATACGATGCCTGAAGATATCCACCTCAGACACCCCTTTCCACACTACCCCCACTCCCAGCAGGGTACTTACTTGAGCACCTCCTCCCGACACTGTTTCTGCGGGGCGAAGCAGGCGATGGCCCACACCTTGATCTCAATGCCGTTGTAGAACTGCTTTCCCCTCATGTCCCACACCCCCTGGTTGGGCGTAGCGATGGCCCGGTTCTGTGAGGTGGAACAGGTGGGAGACAAAAGCTTCAGAACCAGATCAATGTCAGGGCTGTTTGCACTCTGTGAAATCCACAACTACTGTAGTGGGGACTGACTTCTGAAGCCAGAGGCCTGGTTTGATATAAAGTGGTGAGGAGGAGGAACTCTGTGGCCCCTTTGTGTCCGGACGTAATTGAGTCATTCATTGTAGCCGTTGGTGCTCTGTTGAGTTGCTATTTTCTTGGGTTTTCTCGAGTCAATTAACTTGTGACATTCCTGGATTACTCTTTCTACTCATAAAGTCCGATTTAATTAACAAAAACGATAGTCAGTTTATAAAAGGTTAAGGATATAAGACTGTGTACATATCTGGCTGTGTTGGCAAAATCACTACATATCCCGTTGAGCAAAGTGGGGAGAGGTTGCAAGTTCCAAGACCTGTCAGAAACGTCCAGCTAAACCTACGCCAATGACGCCGGTGGATCGCAAAACTGAACTTGGATCCGCGTTAAGTAGCAATGATATCCTTCGCCACAGTTGTCTTACGACAGATCGCTCGAACCAGTCATGACTATTCAACAAAACAATAAATCATTTTCAGCAAATTTCTTAGTTACATGATTGTATAACTAGCAAAGGAGTTTTGAAGTTGAGGGTGCAGTATTTATGAAGTTTGGCTAGCCAGCAGGATATAGCTGGGCGCACATGCACACTAGGCTAATTCAGGACAAAGATTTTAGTTTTTATACCCTGATATTAGGAGCTGGCAGTGAAAAGTTTGATTAAACAATTCAGAGACTAAAACGAATACATCAGATTACAAATATTTAAGGAGAGCGAATCGATATACAATCCCGAAAATCTGCAGTAAAACAAAGCTTAAAACGATGTTTGAGTGAACCTGAATCCAGAAAACGAATGGTGAAGTCGCTTCCGGACACGTAGACTCCTCCTCACCACTCTATAGCCTACTGGTGAGTAGTTATGTGGGCTACTTCTGTTGTTACTGTCAATGTATCAATATATATTATATATTTAAATGAACACCACACTAACTTACACAATTATATATTAGTAATATCAATATACATATACAATATAACAATATACATATATATATATATATATTATATATATATTATATATATAATATTATATATATATATACATAAATTGTGCAAAAAAACAGAGCCCAATGCAAGTAGCAAATTAATTACTCCTCCATTTACTTTGCTGGACCAAGTACACAGCATTATTTTAGCACAAGTACACACAATTGAAATTATGCTTAATGTGGCCGTACTACAAGTGTGATATCTCTTACCCGTCCTCCATACTGTAGGATGGGCGCAGGCAGCACCCTCCCCGTCACCTCCGCCATCTCATCCTTCACCTTGATCCCAAACTCCTGGATGTACGGGTCCAGGTTAAAGTTGGCGTTCTTCATCTGTGGACAGACGGGGAAAATAGATAGGATGTGTGTTATTCATTCACACTGCACAATGCTGTGCTGTCAATTCATATCTAATCTGTGGAGAGACAGGAATAATAGGAAGTCAGTTACTATGTATAGTCTAGTAGTAGTATGTGTTAATCTGTGTTGGATGGCCTGTGTTAAATTCATTAACACATTAATGCCAATTCTCATGCTCATGGCTGGTTGTTTCGCATTGCAGCCTCCAGTCACCAGGCGGCGCCACTGACTCACCAGCCGGCTGATCTCCTCCTGTCTGTCGGGTGCAGAGCGAGCCGTGGCTTTGATCATAGTGGACGTCTGATTATCTGTCAATTTCTTGATGCAGCGCTGCCCCGCTACGATGTTACACACCTGCAGGGAAACAAAAACAAAAAACATTAATTTTCTTCTCAAACACATAAAGCAACTGGATTGGATTGAATGCATTCACTCTAGAAGAGTCAGCGGTCCCATATTCCTCACCTCCAGGGGCAGGTAGGTGTGCTTCTGCTCCTGGCCCACCTGGAGGCAGGGCAGGTGGGGATATTTGAGCTGCAGATTGTACTTCTGCTTGAAGTACTGGGCCACCGTACATTCTACTGTCTGTCCACTCTCAAGCTGCAGAGGAAACCTGGTAGGGAATGTGTAATAAAGAAGATGTCAAATGACTTGATGATAATGTCAGTATGTACAATTCTAACACAGAATATTTTTTGTTGTACTTTTTTTTTTTTTTTTGTCATTTAGCAGACGCTCTTATCCAGAGCGACTTACAGGAACAATTAGGGTTAAGTGCCTTGCTCAAGGGCACAGACAGATTTTTCACCTAGTTGGTTCGGGGATCCGAACCAGCGCCCTTTTGGTTGCTTAACCACTAGGCTACCTGCCGCCCCTCCATAGTCACCATATGTCTCACATTGATGCAAGCGCCTCTATAAAACCACTGGTGTCTTACTAAATACTACAAAAAGGTGGATAATACAAAAACATTCATCCTTGTAATGGACCATATCCTTACTCAGAAATCACAAAGACCAATTTCCCAACTGACACCGATGATTTATAGGTAATGACTTTTATTGGGAAGATCTAATCCACCCAAACCATCCCTTCTCCAGGGAGAATCAGTCAGATCAACCGTGTGACACTACTCACGTCTGGTGGCTGGCGGGGCGTCGCGTGACGTTGCAGACGCGGTACTTCCTCTTCATCTGACCGCAGTGAGTCACCTCCACCTTCAGACCTGGCAACGCCCACCGACAGCAGGGCACAAACACACACAAAGATAAGAGGCCACAGTAGTGACGGCACGGGGACAGACGTAAATGGGGAGAGGGTGGAGGAGAAGGGAAGGACATCAGAGTTCTCCCCATAGGCTGTATGCACAGAGGCGCCGCTCCACCAATCTTTCAGTCGTTCACTCTTTAGCGCCATTATATGGACTTTCAAATGTATTTCTTTATGAAAACTAATACAAAACATGGTGCTTTCAATCACGCTGTTTAGAGAAATTCAGAAATGCAGAATTCAGGATAGAGTGGACTGAGAGAGGTGATGAGGATTTCTACTTTCTGAAGATGAGCTTCACACTATGAAAACATTCTGGGGAGACCCCTGGGGTAGAAAATAACAGGGGGCATGGTAGAGAGAAGGATCCATTAGGATGAATGTCAAAGACAAGGTGAAGAAAAGGAAATGGTGGAATGAGGGGTGGAGGAGTGAGTGAGGAAGAGGAGATAAGAGAAGGAGTGAAGTGAGGGGTGGAGGAGTGAGTGAGGAAGAGGAGATAAGAGAAGGAGTGAAGTGAGTGGTAGAGGAGTGGAGTGATTGAGGAAGGAGTGAGTAGGGAAGGAATGAGTGGTGAAGGGTGAGTGGTGGAGTGAGGAGTGATGTGAGGGGATCGTCTGAGGGGGGGGGCATTGGTGAGAGGCAGGCGGCATGGCGTGTGGAAGGTACTCACTCACTGTTCAACGGCCCACCTTTGATCTCCTTGGTGAAGCGGACCCTCTGCGAGTCGGTCAGGGTCTTGGGCTGCTCGTCTATGTTGCGGATGTCCAGGACTTCGCACATGAACTCGATCACCGGCTGGGCTTTGTAGAAGGCCGTGGCAGACACTAGAGGGAGACAGAGAGCAGTAAGTAAGTAATGCATTCATTCTGAATGGAAGTGAGGTGCAGCGCAGACAGAAGCCCAGTGGTATAGGATTACGTTATTCCTAAACATTGGGTTGTGTTCGCTATGGCACTCAACGGAAAACATATAAGAAAATGTTTCAGCAGAAAAGGAGAGTTTCTTATAGGACAAATCCAGGTAGTTCCTGCCTGTTTCGGTCAGTTTTCTTCCGTTTGGTGCCTAATGAACACAACCCAATAGTATAGAATTAAGTCATTTCTAAGCATTGATCTGAGGTGAATTTTTACACCACACAAAACAGATGTTGAATCATAGACCACTGTGAATGTAACTGTAAGAGCATACTTAAGATATCACCTCTAGTCATCATACATTTTCATTCCATAATATAGACGCAACTTGTTATGCAACAAGATCTGAGACTTCATACCCTAGACTAGATCTTGTCTGGTGGGTCTCAGCCGACTCACCATCAATATTGAGCATCATCTTCCACATGGCAGGGCGTACAGACTGGTGGAAACCAAACCACACTTCCCTCCCCCCACCCAGGGGATGATAGTATCCTTCAGGTGGGGAGAAGAATGATCGTCCCACCGGAGTATACCTAGATGACAAAAATGACGTTATGGAGAATGACTCATTTGAGTCTCAGCACCACAGCATGATTCAATGTCCAGTAATTCTGTGTCACCTATAAGGCTTCGCAGACATAAGCCCAATAGAATGATTCAACAGCTTGTGATCTGGTCAAGCTTCCAAGTAACTGTCTGATTATTAGATTCTGTCCATGTGACACCTTTACACAGTTCTCAGTTATCAGGCATCTGTTGTTCCGTTCATCTCCTCTAGGTATGTAAATATAATAGAATCTAAAACTAAATCGCTGTTCAACAAGGTTGACAGGAATGTCTTGCTATTGTTTGAGATTTTAAAAAAATCTAAAATAACTAAACATTCACACCTCAAGGCAAACATATGCCTTTCAATTTGTTTGAAGACAACATGCATACAGTGTTGTCCTGTGGCGTGCGTGTGTGTTCTGACTGTCTGTGCATCATAGATCCTAGCTTTGTTATTAGCCACAAGCTTCTCTGCCTTTGCTTTCTTTTCATTTTCATAGCGTGTGTGTGTGTGTGTGTGTACCCTCCTACGTGTCTGTGTCTGTCTGTGTGTGTGTGTGTGTGTGTGTGTGTACGCACACGTGTGTGCTGGTGTCCACTCGTGGATGTGCTTAATGTACACAGTGTACCGTACCTCATGGAGGCCAGGTGGCGCATGGCTACATCCAGGGCTTGGACAGAGTCCAGGGGGACCGGCAGGCGCCCGCTGACCAGCGTCTCCTGGAGCAGACGCCATGACACCGTGGCCAGAAAGCGGATAGACACCTTGAAGATACGATCCTTCCCCTCCCCGGGGATAGTCACCTCAAAGTCCACCTTCAGGGAGAGAGAGAGGGATGAGCAAGAGTTGTAAATGGAACAACGGAGGGTGTGTAGTTTAGGTGGAGGGGAGATGGGAGGGGGTTTCAGGACAAAGCGATAGAATGGCTAGACAGAAGTAGAAAGGGGACTTGCTCAAATGTATAGCACACACACTTTCCCTCCCTAACGCCTACCTTCTCACTTCCGATAGGAAGCGCTAGCACCGTATAGATATTCTTCTTGCCGTCGTACACCGGCTTCCTGTCGCCAAAGAGCTGGGGCTTGAAGTGTTGCACCATGTATTCCACCACTTCCCTGCAGGGGGCGACAGAGTCAAACACACCAGGGTTACCATCATGACCACCAGAGCCGACAAAACCACAAAAGACCACCATCTGACAACAAATGTAGTGCTCCAAATTAAACCCAACATCCTATCAGAAATCTGGATGGATGTTTTTTGGGGAGCAGGGAAGACCCGATTCGATTGGTTATTGATCAAGCAGGATACAGCTGGTGAGAGGTGATGGTCTCATGGTCGTGGGGGAATCCCTAGGAGAAAGGGAGTTAGGGGAGGTAGCTGTGGGGACCCAGCACCTCCGAATACATGGTGCCTTGGCCTTCGTCTAACTGGGGGTAGAGTGGTCGGGTTGAAAAGGAGAGGTCATGTGGGGTTGACCTTTCGCATGCCTGCCTGGACCCTTTGTCTGAAAAAAACTCTTACTAAGTAAGAATGAAGCAGGAAGCTCTAAGATGTGTTTGGTGTGTGTACTTAGTATGGAACATTTTCATCTTGCAAAGTAAAACTTCAGATTTGACTCAGCTTTTCTGTTAATCAAGTGAGTGAGTGAGTGAGTGAAGTTTCTCTTCTGGGTCCAGTATTTTTGTTGTTGGAAATAAAAACAGTTGAGTTACACTTTATGAGGTTGTACAACAGCTGAAATAAATCCTCAGTCAAATCAATCGGAGGAATTAAACACTGGCAGCTCAATTGGCCAACCATTGAAACCAATGTCTGGGGTTTAGAATAGATTGGCCAATGATGACCACCCTACAATGGGGCTCTCTAAGACCATTAATCATATCCTGCCTAGGTAATGGTGGATACTGGACTAGTGTGTCATAGTCATGGTGCGCTAATGAACTGTGAGTCTATATCTGTTCAGTTAAATCCTGATCTCTGAATCATCTTGAGAAGTTGTTCAACCTCTACAGAATAAGACTTCTATATAGAGTGTGGTCCTCCCAAGCTCTGATTATGGCGCAGTTCTACAGTCCATATTCTGTGGTTCTTAAAAACAATGGGGAAATGTTAGTGATCAAGTGGACCACTGCTTTACTTACCACTACCAGTCAAATGTTTGGACACACCTACTTATTCAAGGGTTTTTCTTTATTGTTTCTATTTTTTACATTGTAGAATAATAGTGAAGACATCAAAACTATGAAATAACACATATGGAATCATGTAGTAAACAAAAAAGTGTTAAACAAATCAAAGTATATTTTATATTTGAGATTCTTCAAATAGCCACCCTTTGCCTTGATGACAGCTTTGCACACTCTTGGCATTCTCTAAACCAGCTTCATGAGGTAGTCACCTGGAATGCATTTAAACTAACAGGTGTGCCTTCTTAAAAAGTTAATTTGTGGAATTTCTTTCTTTCTTAATGCGTTTGAGCCAATCAGTTGTGTTGTGACAAGGTAGGGGGGTATACAGAAGATAGCCCTATTTGGTAAAAGACCAAGTCCATATTATGGCAAGAACAGCTCAAATAAGCAAAGAGAAACGACAGTCCATCATTACTTTAAGACATGAAGGTCAGTCAATACGGAACATTTCAAGAACTTTTAAAGTTTCTTCAAGTGCAGTCACAAAAACCATCAAGTGCTATGATGAAACTGGCTCTCATGAGGACCGCCACAGGAATGGAAGACCCAGATTTACCTCTGTTGCAGAGGATAAGTTCATTCGAGTTACTAGCCTCAGAAATTGCAGCCCAAATAAATGCTTCACAGAGTTCAAGTCACAGACACATCTCAACATCAACTGTTCAGAGCGGACTGTGTGAATCAGGCCTTCATGGTCGAATTGCTGCAAAGAAACCACTACTAAAGGACACCAATAATAAGAAGAGACCTGCTTGGGCCAAGAAACACGAGCAATGGACATTAGACCGGTGGAAATGTGTCCTTTGGTCTAGAGTCCAAATTTGAAATGTTTGGTTCCAACTGCCGTGTCTTTGTGAGACGCGGTGTGGGTGAACGGATGATCTCTGCATGTGTAGTTCCAACCGTAAAGCATGGAGGAGGAGATGTTATGGTGTGGGGGTGCTTTGCTGGTGACACTGTCTGTGATTTATTTAGAATCAAGGCACACTTAACCAGCATGGCTACCACGGCATTCTGCAGCGATACGCCATCCCATCTGTTTTGGGCTTAGTGGGACTATCATTTGTTTTTCAACAGGACAATGACCCAACACACCTCCAGGCTGTTTAAGGGCTATTTTACCAAGAAGGAGAGTGATGGAGTGATGCATCAGGTGACCTGGCCTCCACAATCCCCCGACCTCAACCCTATTGAGATGGTTTGGGGTGAGTCGGACGGCAGAGTGAAGGAAAAGCAGCCAACAAGTTCTCAGCATATGTGGGAACTCCTTCAAGACTGTTGGAAAAGCATTCCAGGTGAAGCTGGCTGAGCGCATGCCAAGAGTGTGCAAAGCTGTCATGAAGACAAAGAGTTGCTATTTGAAGAATCTCAAATATATTTTGCTTTGTTTAACACTTTATTGGTTACTACATGATTCCATATGTGTTATTTCATAGTTTTGATGTCTTCACTTTTATTCTACAATGTAGAAAATAGTATAAATAATGAAAAAGTAAAAATAAAGAAAAACCCTTGAATGAGTAGGTGTGTCCAAACTTTTGACTGGTACTGTATAGTTGGGGACACTTGGGTGACAGATGTTGAGTTGGGTAACCTCAATCCCCAGGCTATTACTCACAGGGGACAAGATCTGGTACACGAGACTATGCTGGGTGACATGTTACTCTACCTGTTGACCCGTCGGGGGCACTTGTCAGGCTTGATGTCCACCTCGTAATGGAACACGTCCATCTTGGGGATCTCCACCTCAAAGTAGTTGGCCAGCAGCTTGATGGGCTTGCCCACCGTGCCCATGCCCGGCCGGCGGGGTGCCTGGAACACCTGCTGCATGGGTGGAGGGAAGGGCCCCATGGGCACTGGAGGGGCAGGGGTGTGGTGGTAGAAATGGGCAATTTAGGGAAGGTGTATGGGAAGTTTAGGCAAGGGCAGAAACGGTAGGGATGTGGGTATGGGAGATGAGGAAATAAATGGAGTAATGAGGAAAGAAAAGTGAGCATGGGATGACGGGCAGAGAGAGGGGGCATGGGATGACGGGCAGAGAGAAGGGGCATGGGATGACGGGCAGAGAGTGAGGGCATGGGATGACGGGCAGAGAGAGGGGGCATGGGATGACGAGTCAGAGGAAGAGACAGGAAGAAGTAGAGAGGAAGAAAAGGGCAACAGACGGAGAGGAAGGAAAAGGTTGAGCGGCAAAATATGGGGTATGTGGGAGAGAGAGAGGGGGGTAAGAGGAGGATATTGACGAGGGATAATAGCGGGAGAGAGGGGAGGAGGAACAAAGCGATTAGGGTGAGAGGAGGGAGGGTGTGAACGAAAGAGAAGGGAAGGGAGAGGGGTGGTTGGTGGTTGAATGAGAATTAAGGGTAAGAGAGAGAAAAAGAATACATTAGGGCGACGCTGGATTCACCAAGCCGGACACACTGAAAGAAAGATAGACTTTTCCTTAAACACACCGGCACGTTTAGAAACTGGTAGAGTAGGCTAGCCTCACAAGGGATTCTAGTGTGATTTTGTTTAAAACACCTACATGTATTAAAAATAATCAAATGACCTCAGCCTATATAAGATGGTGCGATGACAAATGTGCCTTAGTTAGCGATAGTAGCATAGGTATACAATCCAACGGTCACAGAAGACGACTAAAAGCCTGCATTTAAGATGTTTTAGTTTGACATGAATGCTACTGCTAGCCTCTTTTCAAACACATAATTTGAAACTTTGGTATTGAGCAGAGAGTGAATACAATACACAAACGTAATGTGCACTAACTAGTGCATTGCAGTGAGGAAAACAAGTATGTGAAGTTCAAGAGGTGTATGACTTCGAGATCGGCCTGGCAAATGTGAGACTCCTGCCTTCCTCCCTGCATGAGAGGGGGCCCAGCCCTGTCCAGCCCATGTCTTAACCTCTGCTTCCCCAGAGACCAGCCCTCTCACAATCACAACAAAGACCCCAGCTGCCCTCCTCCTCCATCACACAGACAGGGGGGGATGGGGAGAGAGGGAGAGCCCCCACTACCACACACACAAACACAGGGGTCCCCCCCAACATTCCCAGCCTTACCATGGAGACTCCACAGCAACACTGGCATTGTCATGGAGATCAGGAAACCTGGAGGGGCAGTGGGTGGGTGGGTGGAGGGGTAGTGTATGTGTGGGGGGGGGGGGGGGGGGGGACCTTGGCCTTTTTACATTTACATTACATTTTAGTCATTTAGCAGACGCTCTTATCCAGAGCGACTTACAGTTAATGAATACATATTTTTTTATACTGGCCCCCTGTGGGAATCGAACCCTTTTCATCCTGAAGCAGTGTTAGTGTTTCCACATTAGGACCGAGCGGCCTCTTCCCCTGTCATTAATCTCTCTCACATGCAGGGCCTATAGCTGAGCTGAGTGGAGAGCTTGTGGTTTAAAAGGCTAGCATGGAAATCCTCTAGTCAAGCATAGCAGTCAGTCATGGATGTATACGCTCACTAGGCCTTGAAAAAGCAGCCAACTATGGACTGGCAATCTGGCATGATAAATAACATAAGACTAGATTCTACTGAAGGTGACAAACAGTGAGGTGTGTGTGTGTGTGTGTGTTACGCCTACGCATAAGTCTCAACAGTCTTGACACAGAGTAGGCTAAACACACTGACACACATGCACAATTGCAGACACACACACACACGTCACCGGCAGCACGCCCCACGCCAGTGTAGGCAGATGGTGAGAAGTGGAGCCAGGGCTCACACATCCCCAGACAATAGCAGTCTTTCCCTGGCACTGGGGCCCTTTCCATCTCTCTGGAGTCTGGTTTAGGCTGGGTTCCTTTACCATTGAAAAATGGAATTACACACACTATTCCCACATCCATTCCGTGCTGACATCACTAGAGATGATGCCATGTCTAATAGCTGTCTGGAATGGTGATATAGCTAAGACTTAACTATTTATAGGTTTAGGTTAATATAAATATTAAAATGCTGTCCTGAGGTACAGGTATAAAACATTTTAGTAGCTTAACTCTAGTCTTGAGGACAGAGTCCGTGTTAAATGGGGCAGTGCAGTCAAACATGATTTTCCTGTGTTTTTTTATATTTCCACACTATGAGGTTGGAATAATATTGTGAAAATTATGATAATGCACTTTTAGTGTAAGAGCTGTTTGAAAAGACCGCCTGAAATGTCAGCTTGTTTGGCTGGGTGGGGTTTTTGGACCGCCTGGTGACATCACCAGATGGTATAAGCTAATAGGCCAATAACAAAGACAGTTTGTCCTCCTCTCTGCCAATAACAGCTATTTTTCAGGTTACACATCCTTCACATTACGCTCCTCCAATTAGGCCCCTCTCTCAGACCACTCCCAAACAGTCCTAGCTACATTTTTGCTTGAGAAATTACATTTTTCTAAGAAGATTGTTTTCAATTAAAATGGTAAAAAATTAACTATCACAGTAAGGTACTTAGTTGCTACCAGACATTATTTGATATTGAGAAAACGGCTGCATTGGACCTTTAAAGGAAAATACCACTCAAACTATATTTTGGTATTTGTTTCATTCATCCACTGCTGATACAGTCCCAAAATGTTTTGCATGTCAGCAATCAAGATATAAAACTTTGAAAATACAGAAAGTGTCACAGTATGCTGCGTTTTGCATCATATGATCAACAGTGGACTAATGAAACAAATACCAAAAGATTGATTTTGAGTGGAATTTTCCTTTAAGTGTTACTGGTTAACTGACTAATATTCATGTGTAAATGGTGTCCTATACAGGTTCAGCAAAATCCTACTAGTCGCAAATCTGGAGGCCAGTCAGTCAATGTAGTTGCTTAAAGATACACAACAAAGTATATGTAGCTTTAGTCAGAGAAGCCTACTTCTGGAGATGGGCAGGTCTGGGGGCCCATTAGCTGTTTGTCCCCCTCCCCCTCTCTAAAAACAAACAACTCCATACTTGAGTGTCAACAAGCTGTCAAACTATAGGCCTACTCCATTTGAATGACAGTGAATTTTAGCTAACATAACTGTGATTAACACAAATACCTGGGGACCAATCTTTGTGATATCAACTTTTCGTATTCCATTTGTCACTAAAGGTTAGAGTGTCACTAAAATTACATGAGATTTGATTATGCACACACTGGACTTCAGACCAGACTAAAGCACAGCGTCATAATATTTACATTTTTACATTTTAGTCATTTAGCAGACACTCTTATCTAGAGCGACTTACAGTTAGTGAGTGCATACATTTTCATACTGGCCCCCTGTGGGAATCGAACCCACAACCCTGGCGTTGCAAGCGCCATGCTCTACCAACTGAGCTACACGGGACCAATATCACAGGTCATCATAATATCTAGAGTTGTATGGCTGTCTGCCCACTTTAATTAAGTAACCAAAGCGAAACACATGCTTTTTGATATACCATATCTTGCCTTTTGTGAACTAACACTGACACTTGACTTCCCCCCCATCCCTACTAGCACGGACTTTGCTGATAGCTACTTTACTGAGGGAAAATGTACTTACTATGACTGAGATATGTGGATGTCCCACCTAGCTATTTTAAGATGAATACATTAACTGTAAATCGCTCTGGATTAGAGTGTCTGCTAAATTACTAATCTGTAAATAACTCTTGCATTACCCAATATGAACATTAAATTGGAATGACCTTGATGTAAAAATGTTGACATCCATTTTACAATGGTGTGGTTTAATTTCAATAGTATGCACTAATCTAAATAATAATCACAATGTAAGGAGGTTGTCCAATAGCCATTCATTTCAGTATTCAAATACATAACTAATTGTGGTGTTCACATAGACTTGAGTTAGTTCATTGTGTATTCATTTTGGTGGAGTGTGAATAAATAATATTTGGATCAGTGCACTTTTCTATCATTCCAAAAATGTATGTAGAACCCAGACTGCCAAAACAGACGGGGTGTGTGAGTGAGAGGGGTGCTGAGTAGTGGAGGCGGACTTTACCTCGTGTCTCCTTGCCAGAGATTCCCACGGTCCCTCTGCCCCCGCCCCTGACCCTGGACATTGTCAGTGGGCCCAAAAGACCCGTCTCTCGCTATGATAAGTAATTTCGTATAGTGCACGAGCTATGGTTGAAAAATTCCCACAATCGTTGTGATGGACGGGTTTTTCAGCCAGCCTGCTAGCATAAGAGAATGCTGCACCAGATATGACGGCCCGTTTTAAAAAATGTGGCCAATTGCATGTTACCATCTGCTGCTATAGATGAAGATAAGCAAAAATTCCACCATTGACAGAGAAAAGAGAGAGACCTACCAGCGCCAGATGGTCCCGGCTCCATCCCATCCACTTAACCGCGCGGGCACTAGACAGTCCAGGGTTCTATGGCCACAGCGCCGGCCCCTTCAGGCTAGAAGAGTTGCAGACTTCCAGCCCCCTCCTCTCGGCGTGTAGTCTTCTCCGTACTCGCTAAACCCCCACCCCTTCCAGTACCCCCAGACACGCAGAGTTGAAACGATAAAAGCTGCCTGTCTGATGACCCGAGAACCGCTGTCTGAACGGCTCTAGTGCGAAACCTTGCGTCGGTCTTCTTTCCTCCGGGTTGAACGCTCTTTGCCTGGCCTGATAAGATTGTCCGTGGCGCTATGCTTTCTTATCGGTCTGTTATGCTCCTACTCACGGTTCAAGCACGACTCTCCAGCAGAACAAAAAGGGCCAGCCCCCCTCCCCGAATTCTGAAACCTCTTCTTTGACTTTAAATGATGTTGCATTCTGCACACGAGTTGTTGTAGTCGCCCTCTACTGGAGGCGGCTATACGGGTTTTCTTGGAGTAGCAGCGGAGCTGTACATGATGCTATCTGGGAATTCTTGGGACGTCCCTACCGCCGCGCGCAGCGTTTCCCAAACTCGGTCCTGGGGACCCCAAGGGGTGCACGTTTTTGGTTTTGCCCTAGCACTACACAGCTGATTCAAATAATCAAAGCTTGATGATCAGTAGATTATTTGAATCAGCTGTGTAGTGCTAGGGCAAAAACCAAAACGTGCACCCGATGGGGTCCCCAGGACCGAGTTTGGGAAACCCCTAACCATAACCCTTCCCTAACCTTAACTATTTTAAATTCCACTTCAACGGAGGGTATGGACGTCCCAAGGATCCCGGATAACACTGACGCGGTACATTGGCTGGGGTTCATGAAAAAATGTAATACTATTCTGTAATTTTCAAGAGTACAATTTGAAACCTATCCAGTAGATGTTTAAATAACATATTCGGCCCCCAGAACACCAATTGCACTAATTGAATTTCGCTAAATTGACCTGAACCATTTTTCTGTCAATCCACATGCAGAGAAATCTGTACAAACAGTTCCAGGAGGAAGTGGTCGGTCTTTGATTACGTCACTCCGTCGAATAAGGAAAGGGACGTCATCTTAAACTGTGATTTGGAAGGTATGTGCAATATGTAAAAATACGGCTCATAATGTTGATAATTCATGATCTCTTTCAACAATATGAATTAAATCTACCATTTTAGTGCAATTGCTTTGTACATTTCAAACAGTGTTCATCATTGGTTATCGCTCCCTGTCAGGTTTGCCTGAGGTGTGTTAGCTAGCTAGCTACAGTAGCTATGATAACTATCAAACGTTAGCTATCCAAGACCTGATCCACATGAATCAAAGATGCATACTCATATAGCTAGTTATCAGAATATTAGTTGGTAAATATATCCCGTTTATGCATGCATGTAGACTAGTGGCGTATGTATCAGAACTAATCAGATACAGTGGGGTCCGAAATTATTAACATCCATAAAGAATAGCAGAAATCACTGTATAAAATAAATAATTCAAATACTGAGCTATATTGTATGCTGAAATGTTTTTGTAAATTATATTATTTTATACTAATACAATTGCTCAGAGAAAGAAATGTTGTTTAACAAGTAATAAATGTTTTTCTCAAAAAGGTAAGGGTCAAAATTATTGACACCCTTGTTTTGGAATCCCCGAGCCGACAAGGTAGAAATCTGTCGTTCTGCCCCTGAGCAAGGCAGTTAACCCTCAACAAAAACTGCTCCCCGGGTGCCAATGACGTGGATGTCCACCAACATATGTTACAGTAGGTATGGGGTTATTTTCTGCTCATGCGTTCTCGTTTCGACGCCAAAACTAGTGTTGCACGGTAAACACAAACTTCTGTACTTTTTCAAAACTAAAACATGAAAAAAGGTTCAGTACTATATTGTATTTTTAACTTTCAGTACTTCTATCAATTGGCTCACGTCATCTACTGATTGAGAGAGGATCAAGTCTGTCTATCAGCGCAGCTGATGTCCCCTTATAGCGCGAGCGCATCATGCCTGCTTCACTTACTCATTGCTAGCTCTAGCCTGTGCTGAGCAACCACTGCACTCACTGGGAGTCTTGGCTGCATCATGTTAGCTCCACACTCATGCTGCACAGAAGTTAACACACTTGAATAATGCAACACAGCATGTAGAAATGTTGCAACTGTTAATTACTGTTTGCAAAACAATGTTCATTACAGGCTTGAACACTTTACAATGCAAGAAGATACCAGTAGCTCAGACTAGACTAGACGTAACATAGTAAACGTAAATCTGGGAAACTCAAATTAGTATGATATTTTACGTTTGGTTGGGTTACATAGGCAAAAACGAAAGCAGGGTGGTTGGTCGGGCGGATGGTTGTTCGAATCTCATCATGGACAACTTTAGCATTTTAGCTAATTAGCAAAGACATTACTTTTTAGCTACTTTGCATGTTAGCTAACCCTAACCCTTTTAGTAAACCCTTCCCCGAATCCTAACCCTTTAACCTAACCCTCAATAACTCAATGCATACACACACTCCTATTGAATATGCATTCACCTGTATTGTGAATAGGCCTAGGCTACATTTTGATTTACCCAGTTTATCAATAGCGATTTACCATTCAAATAAATATTACCGTTATGTAGTTAGATTGGTAAAAACAAAGTCAAATTAGTTGTATGACTATCATTGATTCATTAATGCAGGGCTCTCCAACCCTGTTCCTGGAGAGCTACCGTCCTGTAGGTTTTCAATCCAACACCAGTTGTAACTAACCTGATTCAGCTTATCAACCAGCTAATTATTAGAATCAGGTGCGCTAGATTAAGGTTGGAGCAAAAACCTACAGGACGGTAGCTCTCCAGGAACAGGGTTGGAGAGCCCTGCATTAATGCATGAATGGCTGTATTTGAAAAATGGACATGAAACATTTCAAATGTAATGATATTGAACTCAGAAGATCTGTCTGGATGAAGTGCCATTCTGTGACTTTGGCTAATACGCCTTCTTGTTTTGCCGTGGTATCGTTTTGGTAGCATGTATCGCGATGGTATCGAGTATCGTGATACTAATCCTGGTATCAAAGTTGAAATTCTGGTATCGTGACAACATTATGCCAAACCCACCACTGGTGTGTGCGTGACCAAATAGCTCTATTTTCATGTCATCTGACCAAAGCATCGGTTCCAATCCAAATGCTAATGCTGTTTAGCAAACTCCAGGTGTTTACATTTGTTGGATGACATGAAAATAGAGCTATTTGGCCACACACACCAGTGGTGGGTTTGGCATCTAAACGAGAATGCATGAGCATAAAATAACCCCTACGGTAAAATATGGTGGTGGATCTTTGATGTTATGGGGCTATTTTGCTTCCACTGCTTCCTTGTTAAGGTCAACAGCATCATGAACTTTACCAAGTACCAGGACATTTTAGCCCAAAACCTGGTTGCCTCTGCCAGGAGGTTAAAACTTGGCTGCAAGTGAATCTTCCAGAAAGACAATAACCCCAAGCACACTTCAAAATCCACAAAGAAATGGTTAATTGACCAGAAAATCAAAATTTTGCAATGGCCATCTCAGTCTCTGGACTTAAACCCCATTTGAAAACCTGTGGTTTGAAAAGAGTACCACAGTATGAGTCATAATACCCAGAAAACCTAGCGGTCAAACAGGGAAATGGTTCCAATAGTTTTTCCACCATTCATTTTTCCCATAGGTTTTTTTTGAAAAACTTAAAATAAGGGCTGTGTTATGTGTAGGCTTACCCTGGCGTGACGTTTTGATACCTGTGTAAATCTCTCTAGGACAAGGTGACTTTTATCAATATATTCTCCTGTATTTACCCCTTATTTTAAGTGTTTCTAAAATCCCCTATGGGAAAAATGAATGGTGGAAAAAAGATCGGAACCTGTTTGACTGCTACGTTTTATGGGTATTATGACACCTCCACTGTGGGGCTCTATTGAAGAGGGCAGTCCATAAGCGCAGACGAAGGATATCAAGGATCTGGAAGGATTCTGTATGTAGGAATGGTCTAAGATCCCTCCCAATGTGTTCTCCAAAAAAGGCTCTGTGCCATTATCCTCACAAGTTGAGGTATTGAAAGGTATTCAAAACTGGGGTGTCAATAATTTTGACCCTTATCTTTTTTGAGAAGAAACTTATTAAACAAAATCTCTCTCTCTCTGAGCAATTGTATTAGTATAAAATAATATAATTTCCCAATATTTTTGAGCATATAATATATCTCAGTATTTGAATTATTTATTTTACACAGTCATTTCTGCTCATCTTTATCAAGGGTGTCAATAATTTCTGACCTCACTGTATGTCTGGTATGTGGTAACAGGCTCCTGTAGCACAGTTCAATACTAGAAAGTAGTGGCCTCTGAAGACCTTATCCTACTAACTGTCAATGAATGCACTGCCATTACGTTTGTTGATGCACCCCACTGAACTAGGCCTATGCTCTATATGTAACTATGCTACATACCTCTCACTACTGTGTCTAATGCAGCTCATGGCTATACAAACCAGGGACTGCTGAATTTGTCAAACAAGCGTAACGGCTAACCTTGTTAATAAATTGCTTGTTTATATGTATCTCTAATGTATGTAATAAGATGTAATGCATGCATCTATGATGTATCTCCACAGGGGTGTCAGAGTTTGAATATGTCGTGGATAAGGGAAGGTGAATTGAACCTCATTGAGAAGCTCTCAGCCAACATACTGAAGGTATGACTATCTATGTGCAAATGCATCCCTTCTGAGGATATTTGAATTAATTAATCACAACCACATTTTTATGATATGTAATATGGTTCTATCTCTATGGAATCCATCCACCCCTCCTTGGTCTCTCCAAGGCTGGCCCGATGCCCAAACATGTGGCCTTTATCATGGATGGCAACCGGCGCTACGCCCGCAAGCGTCAGGTGGAGCGCCAGGAGGGACACACACAGGGTTTTGACAAACTGGCAGAGGTGAGGTTCCCAGGTCATGATGTAGTTATTGTTCTTTCTATCATAGTTGTTCTCATTCACACTGACCCTTTTGCATGAGCATTCACATTGTCTTAGAAAAGTAGGCAACTGCACTTCAACCATATCCTTCACCATTACCATCATAAAATGTATTTGTATAGGGCTGTCACCAAATACATTAGAAATACATACTACTTTAATGTTGGCTTTACTGATGATCAACCTTGGTGGCTCCTTCCTTTAGACACTACGCTGGTGCCTGAACCTGAACATCCATGAGGTCACAGTGTACGCCTTCAGCATCGAGAACTTCAAGCGGTCTAAAGACGAGGTGGACGGCCTGATGGAGCTGGCCAAGCAGAAGTTTATCAGACTGCTAGATGAACAGTGAGTGTTAGAACAGAGCCAGAGTGATGCCATTAAAGATGCATAGGTGTGGGAATCCCAGTGAGTGGGAGACAAAGCAGCATAGCTACCTGCTAAATGAAGGGTTTTCTTTCCCCAGTCACAGAAGGACTGGGAGAAAAGCTAAAAGTGCTCAAGGCAGATGTTTTACAGACACTTTAATTAAAAACTCGACAAGGACGATGTTTCAGTAATACACTTGGCACAGGGTTTCACTTGGCGCCGGACAACGTGACCAGGAAGATTTAAATGTACAGGCAATTTGAGAAATGTACCGGACCCATATGTATTGGGTGCGTAAACCATTAGGGCATCCACCCATGGTGCTCAGAATGACAGAAATCACATTCCGATTATGGTAATTCATCTTAACAGAATATGCAACTCCTGTAATGAAGCAGCCAATAAAACGTAATTTTCAAACATTTGCCAAAATGGAATTTGCAGGAAAACACCATTCTAAACAGCGCATCTGATGAGTGGTGCCATATGTGACAAAGATTAAAATCTCCCTTAGAAACGTACTGTAGAAAGAGGGGGAATCTAAAGATGCAACAACTAGGATGGGTTTTTAATATGACTAGGATTGAGCCTTTGGCTTCTGAACAACGAAAGAAAGTATGAACCAATAGAACATGAGAGAAATGGCATAAAGGAAGGTGAATTGAAAGTCCTTGAGAAGCTCTTAGCCAACATACTAAAGGTATGATAAGAGCGTCTGCTAAATGACGTAAATGTAAATGTATGACTAGGGAAGTAAAATTGCTGTGGATTGTTTCAAATCACAAGCTCGTAGGCCTTTGTCTATTTGGGAAGCACGCAATTTTGGGCAGCGCGCGTGGCAATAGGCCTAGCTGATTATTGAGTTGCGGCTGTCGGTGAAAAGCACCTAAATATTTATGAAGGAAAGGTGTCTTGAGTATAATTTAAAATGTTGACACAAGAATAAGGGGAGGGATAATGTGTCGAAGGCGAGTCTCTTTCCAGATTGGCTCAACTGTCTCCCATCAATTCTTGCCCATTCATTGTGTGAATTGTTTGCCCTTTTGATTGTTTATTCTTATCAATTCTCCATTACATATGTACACTGAGAATACCAAACATTAGGAACACCTTCCTAATATTGAGTTGCAAAAAAATCCTTATTTAACCTGTCTCCTCCCCTTCATCTACACTGATTGAAGTGGATTTAACAAGTGACTTCAATAAGGGATTATAATTTTAATCTGGATTCACTTGGTCAGTCTGTCATGGAAAGAGCAGGTGTTCATAATGTTTTGTATACACCGTGTATGTCACCAGTAGTAAATATACCGTTAATCCCTGTCATTTGGTTACATTAGTTCCTGTTACTGCATGTATTAATTAGTCATTTACCGTTCAAATTCTCGGAGTGGAAACGTTGTTTGCAGAGTTCAGAACTTGCTACACTTGTGAGAAACATGTTTTGGATTGATTTCATCACCATAATTTACGAGTTTTGTTAATTTTTCATTGTCTTTTGTTTGCTCAATGTGAGCGATTAGCATGTGTCTGGTTTCTCTGTGCTGTTAATGTTGAGGGAGCGTGCGCGCCTGAGCACGCATATAAGTACGGAAATGTAGGAAAATCAACGAAGTCTGTTTTTTTAAACATCTATTGCAAAAGATAATCTAGCCTATTAAAACTATAGTTCCTCACAGGCTATTTGAAAAGTATTTCCAACAATCTCCCCCTCGATAATCACCAAGCATCGGTGTGAAAGACCAGAGTATTATGATCGGATGAGCCCATATATCCAGTGGAAACTTAATAAAATACCCGAACACTTTTCCCTTAGGCAAAAACAGCTGTCTGTCCGGAGCTCACTAGCGCGGGAAACTCTAAGGGCCTGGAATAGGCTAGTTGATAAGATGTTGCAAGTTCACTAGCGAAAGCTTCCGCCCAGACACAGTTGATTGATTTGATACAAATGTTGCACTTTACAATAGCGATAGCTCAAGTCAAGAAGATGGAAAGCGAGGCAGGAGAGTCTGAGTAGAGAGATTAATGTGATTTGAAACAAAAAACGCCACATTTCCTACTAAAGGTTACATTTGCCTGTTGATATTCTATGGTACCAAATGTTGAACCAAATGTTGTCAGTCAGACTGCATCCCTTGTGACATATGCTGTATCCTATAGACAAATGCAGCAATGAAAATTAAATCATTCATCCTTTTTGGGGAGCAATTTTGACCCTTTACTGAAACTATGTGCGCTCCTCATCTATCGAACCTCACACACTGCCTTTTAAGGAGTGTGTGAGCTATGTGCTTTTCGTGTTGAGGTACAGACAACAACAAGTGGAAATAAACCATGACTGTTTGGTCTGTGTTTGGATCTTCGATTTTTTCACACTGACCTCTTTATTTTCCCTCATGTACAGTTCAGACTCTTACAGCCTGGGTATTTGTCCAAGGCCTCTTTCCATGGAAGACACTTAGTAGGCTCCTTTTGAGCTGTCTGAGGGTCTCGTCAGGGTTTTCTTTCTACTATATATTTTTTATTTTCTATTTACAGTGGGCTATGTTTCCAGATATTTATAGCATATAGTTATGGAAAGAAAACAACAGATAAACCTTTAAAGCGATAAAACATTGCTAATGGTTTCATGATAAGAAACAACATATAAACATATAAAAAATGTATGCACTCACCACTGTAAGTCGCTCTGGATAAGAGCGTCTGCTAAATGACAAAAAACTAAACTAAACTAAAACTAAAAAGAACCTGAATTTATCATATTTAATGTTTTCATTTGTCGACTATGTATTTTTACTGTTGACAATTTAAGTTATAGGCAGGGGTGCACATAACTGGTACGCAGGTACGCAAGCGCGACAAAAATCAGGAATGCTTAATGCCACTTGTGTTACTACGCGCCGTACTTGACCGATCTTCTCATCTAACCTTACACATGACATGTTGCTTGTTAACTACTGTCAGGGATGTCCAAAAAGCAACAGACATTAAGCAGCTTCTTTGGCGTTTCGCCACCTACAAAGAAACGCCAACTGGAGCCAGAGCCGAAGAAAATACTTTTTTCGGAAAAGTGGCTCCAAGATGTGCAGTGGCTTGAAGCTAACGATGCGCGCACTGAAATGTGGTGCAAGATTTGCCACTCAAATCCACATCTAGCAGACAAAACAGGTGCATTTTATAAAGGCTCAAAGAATTTCAACCATCCTTTATTTGACAAACATGAAAAGAGCAAGGAGCACACGAATGTAGCGCAAGCCATTGCTAAACAAGCTAGCCGAGAATAAATGTCCAGTCGCCCACTTGCCAGATGGCGAGACAAGCTGAATGAAGAACAGCGGCAAGCTCTGTTTAATATTTTTCTCCTCGCCTTCCATAAAGCTAAACACGCACGTCCCATGTCTTCCTATTCTGAGGATGTTCCTTTACTGAAGCGGCTAGAAGTAAATGTCGGAGGTGCATATCATTCACGTGAAGAGGGCACACGGATCATGCAGAGCATCGCTCACGCCATCAGCGGGGAGTTACGAGCCAAGTTGCAGTCTGCTGAATTTTGGGGGCTGCTTTTTGATGGATCTGAGGACATCACAAAAACTGAGCAGGAAATCGTTTACAGTGTGTCTGTGTCCAGCAACGGAGAGTTTACTTCGGACTTTATTGGACTGATTGAATTGGGTGCTGACCGAACCGCACAGGCCATAACAGACGGACTTGTGAGACTTTTCCAGGACACAGGCTGACTGAA